GCGCCTCCCGGGGCCAGCCCCGCGCCCCACTGCCCGCAGGCATCCTGCAGCGCGGTACCCCGGCGCTGCCCGCCACAGGCACCCGCCGGAAGAGGACCGATTCTTCCTAACATGCCCTTTTCAAGGACTCCTGCCTTGGAGAGAGGCGTGCGGTCCGAGGGGGAGCGCGCAACCTGCCGCGGCTCGGCTCAGACAGCGCGGGAGGCACGCACGGTCGGGTGGTGTCGGGAGACCTTTCGGCTCAACGCCTCTGTTTTCATGTGGTTATAACTTCTTTGCGGAGTGGCATTTGGGAGATGAAGCATCTCCCGCCTGTTAAAGCTGGGAGGATTTACTTTGGAGCGAAGAGTGAGGGGGAAGAGTGACTTGGGAGAAAAATGTATTGCCGGTCCCAAGAAACCAAAGGGGCATTGTTCACCTCTAAGGAAACTGCCCAGCCTCTCTGTGGAGTCATGCGAGTCCTGAGTCCGGCAGCTCCCTGAACGCTGCCCCTAGGCTCTTTGCTGTCCTGCCTGAGCAATGGGAGCTGTGTCTTTGGTGGAAATTTGTGCTGCAAATCTTGCTGCCCCTCTACCAGGGAGGATGCTGCCCTGATGAGGAAGGGGAAGGGTCTCACATCATGGATGGGTTGGGGTGAAGGTGGGGGATCCTCCCACGCTCGGCAGAGAGGCACTGCCTGCACTCGGGGCTCCCCCAGCCTCCGAGCAGCCTCAGCCACGGGACAGTGTGCCTGCCACAGACCAAGCTTCCAGGCAGAGAGATTTTAGCCCTGACTTGTTATTCCCTTGCCACAATACTGGCACCTCCTGTGCTCTCAGCGCAGCACTGTGAGCATCTCTGAGCACTAGCCTTGCAATGGGAGTAGGGGTGATGCCAGCACTATGACACAGGAGCAGGGGGCAGGGAAAGGGGGGCTATAGCCATTAAGCACCTGATAAATCCTCTTCTGCTTTCCTAAGCAGAAGCCTGAAGCCCTTCCTTTTATGCTGCCTCCCTTATGAAGGAGATAGTAGAGAAGCAGAATTTGCATATATGTTAAGTGTACCACACTTGGTGTGTGGAGACACAGTGGGTCTGTAAGAGAGATTATCAGCAGCCAATCCTGTCTCTCAGAAATCTCACCAACTCCTAATTTCCAAGACGCTGCTGTGCCTCAGGGACTGATGCCAGTTGGGGACTACGGGAGGCAGCAGACTCTCGCCTTGTTCTAGAACTGCCGATGGCAAGTCACCCTGAGACTGAATGCTTGCTCGCACTGTGAGGCCTTGTTTGCTCACAGCTGAAAGACCTGTTGTTATGAGTTCTGTGTTTTCCCTAACTCCATCTACATCCAAAGTGGATGAAGCTGTGCTGATAGAGAAGTGCTTTATGCCAGGACCGTTCCCTTACCTACATGAAAATAATAGGGCGTAACATCAGTCCTTTTATATAGGTCCAACATGGACTGCAATAAGAAGGCAGGGAACCCCTTTAAAACACACACGGTACCTCCTTATAGTTTGAATATATCTTCTGTGTGCAAGCAGACCATGCGAAAAAGAAGCTTTTGTGTAAGAGTGCCATCTGGTGCCACCTGCCAGGACAGTGTTTTTAAAGTATACACTGATCATGAAGAGGCTGGCTCTTTCCTACCTG